CAATTTTTCATGTATGCACAAAGGACATGGGTCATTTAATGATCTACAAGCTCTAGCTTTTCTTATTAATTTCTGTTTTACTGTTGGTGTTTTATTGGTTTCTTTTAAGTGCCAGAAATATTTAGGAATGTTTTATTTCGTATTTATTATTATTAAAGAACGTTTCGAAATGGAATCATATTATTAAAAAAGAAAATAATTATATATATATATATATATATATATATATATACTTTAAAAATCAGGAGATCAGTTGAAACCGCTACGTTAATTTCAACCTTACAGTATCCTCTGTCGATTTTTATGAAATGACCTCTGAACGCTTTATTTTTTTAAATAATGAACAATATATTATTTTTAAACATTAAATAAACAAACGCACGACGTTGAATGTAATAGAAAGGGAGGAGAAGGATGCGAAGAAGAAGAAGAAGAAGAGGAGGAGGAGAAGGAAGAGAAAAAAGCAAGGATATTATAAGAGGGTCGATGGGGACTAACTGAAATATACATTTTTTATCCAACCTCATATGTGCTTAAGAGGAATTTCTTAATATGTATGCAAAGACTCAAGAATTCAGATTTCTGGTTCAAAAGATTCTTTGGATCCGGAAAGTCAACTGATCTCCTGATTTTTAAAGTTAAAAGTTCTACATGTTACTTTTACTTTTGTTTTATTTTTCACGTGTGTATTGAGCCCTTTTTCCTGGTATTCCTGATACACGTGTATTGAGCTCTGTTTCCTGGTCTGATTCAACTCTATTAATATTATATATATATATATATATATATATATATATATATATATATATATATATATATATTACATAAATACCCTGAATAACAAAGAAATTAACAAAACTAAACTGATGCTTCACAACAAACATGCACAACACTTGCACCCTCAAACATCACACCTGCTCGCTTCTAACTCCTTTCCAAAATACACAAAAACAACAACACAGGAAGGCCGGTCATTTCATCATTTAACTGCCACACGACCAAAATTTCCAGATACGTAGACCATTACAACCCCTAGCTAAGGAAGTAAAATCCTACATCAGAGACACAAGAGACCTACTAAACAGAATTATTCACATACCAACAGCGCCAGAAAATGCTACTCTCGTAACTATGGACGTAAGATCACTTTATTCAACGTTAAACACATCGAAGGACTAACTGCCCTTAAAGAAGAACTTACTAAAAGAAGAAAACAAGACCCCCCTCCACAGAAGTTAGCATAAAACTCATGGAACATATTCTTACATTGAATATTTTCAATTACAATGGAACACGCTACCTGCAAGTAAGAGGATGTGCCATGGACACTGTTACAGCTTCATCATATACCACAATTTTCATGGGAAAATTTGAGGAGACCCATATTTATCCTTTCATCGGTAGCGACTACATATTCTATGCAAGATATATCGACGATATCTTCTTTATATACACGGGCAATGAAGAGAAACTCACTGAATTCCTTATGACCCCCAAACACGGCTCAGTTATGTTCGACCACGAAAAAGTCAAAAAGATCGGGTAACATTTTTAGACACCCGCATCTACAACGATAAAAACAGAAAACTACAAACGACACTACACACTAAAATCACCGACACCCACAAGTATCCACACTTTAAGTCTTCCCACTCTAAACGCCTTAATGAGGACCGTTCCTATTCACAAGCGCTTACAAGGATATGTTCCAACAATGAAGAACTAAATAAAAACACTCAAAGACTCGAGCATCAATTCACGGCACGTGGCTATAAACAACATCTAATCAGGAAACAAACAAATTAAGCAATTTCCACACTTAGAGAAGACTAATGTACAAAATTAAAAATAAATCCAGACGCATCCCTTTAGTAACCACTTTCAGTGCTACTCTTCCTCCACTTAGATAAACAAAAGTCGCTGGGAAATACTACATCTCAAACCAGATCTAAAAATTTTGTTTGAGGAACTCGGCCTTCTAGCATATCGTAAACCTAAGAACCTTAGGAAATTATAGGTAGTAACCACATTTCAGATGATAAGGTAGTCCGTAATAAACCAAAAATAAAAACAACATGATTTTCACAACCATGTAACAACAAAAGGAGCTTATGCTGTAACCACATTAATACCAATTCGCTCACTAGCTTAGTCACTAAATCTACTTTCAAAATCTACCACAACTCTAACTGTAGAAGCCATAATATAATTTACCTATTAAAATGCACACTATGCCAGAAACAATATGTGGGAAAATCTGAATGGCCCTTTCACTACAGAATTAATAATTATCGGAATCGGATTAAGTCGGCCCCCTACGAAAGATTATTACCTGTAGAACATTTCCATCTAGAAAAACATATTTTAAAAGCCATGCCAAATTCACTATAATTGAAAGAATAGAATTAGGCAGAAAAGATAATATTAGAAAAATTCTAGAGGAACATGAAGACAAATGGATTTTGCGCTTCAAAATACTCCATCCAGACAGGCTTAATCACAAATTTAACAACATAAACAGAGTTAATATATAACCCCATTATTCAAGCCCTACCCACATTTCTCACTCACACAAGACAGACATGCTTGCGGAGGTGTTGAGGTCTCACACTTATACACACACTCATACTAATATATACACTTATACACATCATACACACTCCCAAAGAACAAATGATGAAATACACTTTATACACACACATCCCCTTCCCAGGAATCAATAAAACTGTCAAAATGAGTCACATGAATCTATCCAGCCACTATCTTGAAAACAACTTAACAGAGGCCGTTTGACCAACACACCGAATGACCAAAATTAACGATAAAAACAAATGAAAACTACAGATAAAGTTCATTTTGTATCTATCTATATTTCTGAGATGGGGTATTATGTACACTATTTACATTATTCGAACTATTGTCCTCATCTTTGGAGTAGACGCGATAGGCAACAATAAACTACAGAAGAACTCAAAATTGATCGCTGCATTTAAGTATTGCATTTATATTTAAGCTTACCTTTTGAACATTCAACGATAATTCTTCTGCTGCCACTTAATTTAAAGACAATTTGATGTACGTAGGTCCTTACTTTCCCTACAAAAATTATTTTTATTTCATGGGTGACTTTCGCTGGATTTCGCAATTAATTTCGATTATTCCCAAATTTATTTCCAAGTTATAAAAATTGTTATCGTACAAAAAATTCGTCACCAAAAATCACGTAAAAATCGCCAAAAGCAAACGCAGTAATGAAAACTTGAGAATCCAAAATTTCAGGATTACGGGTTCGGATCCTGCCCGGAATGTTTTACTTTGCTCACGGAGTTGGCCTAATTCCAAAATGGTATGATGGGTTGGGATACATTCTCTAGGAATAAAGTGAAAAGTGTAACACACTGACATTCGCATTTATTATATAGATTATCTCATATATATATATATATATATATATATATATATATATAACTATCTCTAAAGAAACTGGTAGCATGGTCGGTGCCCTATACCGCTCTAGAAAGTACCTGACTCCTCCTGACAAGATCTATCTTTACAAGAGTCAAACTGGTGTATTGCTGACACATCTGGCCTGGTGCTGTCCAATCCTCACTTTCCAGCCTCGTCAGAGTTCAAAAATGTTTGCGCGGCCTTGTGGGCGAAGATTTGTTTTCCACCCTACAACCTCTTTCCCCTCGCCGAAACATTGCCAGCCAGTGGCTATTTTCTTGGCAGATGTTCGGGCGAGCTTCATTCCATAGTTCCACCAGTTTAGACCTTTACAACTAGAACATGCCATGCTACGTAGACAGGATCAAATTATCCTCATTTCTTTGATATTTCTTTGGCGAGGAGGAAGTTCCATTAGGACAACTTCTTCGCCAAAACAATTGCATTATGGAACAGACTCCCGAGAGGATGCTTCCCCGATGACTAAAATCTTAACCTCTTCGAGTCTATGGTCAGCCTTTATCTATCCTACATATACTCATGTTGCTCACCTCTTGCTCCCCCTAGACGCCCTTAAAACAACCTCATTTAGTAACCTATATATATATATGTACATTCACGCACACACACACACACACACACACATATATATATATGACACATATAGAATTGCGAATATACACACGTATATATACCAGAACAATATAGCTATATACACATATAAACACACACACACACACACACACACACACATATATATATATATATATATATATATATATATATATATATATATATATATATATATATATATGAAAAATATAGCTTTATGGTATGCTATATTTATGGGTAAAAGTGCTCAATATAAAAGTGGACACTTAGGTTAACACCGAGCAGAAACAGTCTGTTTCATGCTTGAATCTTCGGGCTATATATATATATATATATATATATATATATATATATATATATATATATATATATAATACATGTAAAAGCTTGTTTATTATTAAAAGCTTGCCTATTTATTATTAATAAATTATTAATATTATTATTAAACTTGTTTATTTATTATTAATACAAGTAAAAGCTTTGCCATTTAGCTGATTGATGTTATCCTCAGCATCCCGACTCCTGAGTTTCGTAGACGGCACCGTCCGTCCACTCGTCAGGTGGTATCAGCAATTGACTGCTTATACTTCTCACTTTTTGATTTTTGTATGCATCATTCGCGCAAGTTTTTTCATGGTGTATGTGTGCGTTCACGCGCGTGCGCCCATGCGCCCGTCTGCGTGGATGTGCATACGTGTAGTGTGTCGTGATTATTTGTCCTTCTTGTCGCTTTTTTTTTATCTCCACTTTACCCTCACTGCTTAACCTTTTCTCTCTTTATCCTCTTTTCTTTCAATTGTTGTTATTTGTTACCGTTTTGCTTGAGTTTTGCCAAGAACAATGACAAATAGATTGTTTAAGATTGTGCTGCAAGTGAAGAAGATCTGCCTGTCTTAAAATCGGCACTTGGAGTACGACTGCAAAAGCAAAGGCTGGTGATATTAGAAAAGATCCTCACTAAGTGACAACAATATTTGAAGCTCACAAACTATGTATTCATCAGGAGAAGAATTCGTTGAAATGACGAGCAGTGGCATTTCAATTATACGTGTAATATTACAAGAGCAAGAATTACAAGAAAACTGAAAGAAACAAAAAAAGAAAGAAAAAGAAAAAGAAAGGAATAAAATATTGACAAGAACATTGAAAGAAAGAAAAAAGAAAGAAAGAACCACAAACACACTGGAAAGAAGAAAAGAAAAAGAACGAACAATAAAAAGAATGGCAAGCAAAAGAAAAAAAGAAGAATGAATGATGAGATTACTGCAACGAAGAAAAAGAAAGGAAAAAGAAAAATATTCGGACAAAGAAAGAAAGAACAATTGAAAGAAGAAAAAGAAAACAAAAAGATAATGAAAGAATGAAAAGAACAGTGAAAGAAAGAACGAATAAATTAATAAGATCAAAGAAAGAAAGAAAGAAAGAAAGAAAGAAAGAAAGAAAGAAAAATAAAGAAAAAGAACAGTGCGATAAACAAAAAGAATGAATGAATCACAAGAACGTTAGAAAGAAAAGAAAGAAAATGAAAAAATAAAAGGCATAATCAAGGAAAGAATGAATAACAAGCTCACTGAAAGAAAGAAAGAAAGAAAGAAAGAAAGAAAGAAAGAATGACAAGAACATTGGAATAAAATAAAAGTAAAACTGAAGGAAAGAATGCAAAAACGGTAAAAGAGAAAAGAAGGAACAAATGGATCACACGATCATTGGAACTAATAAGAGAAAAAGAAAACTAAAAAAGAAAAAACAGTGAAAGAAAGAATTAAAAAATAACAAGAATATTGGAAGGAAGCAAAAAAGAATGAAAGAGGCAAAGAATGCAAAGAATGGGAAAAATATAAAATAAATGAATCACAAGAGGAAAGAAAAGAGGAAAGAAAACTAAAAACATTATGAGAACAATGAAAGAAAGAATAAAGAATGAACGAATTACAAAATCAATGGAAGGAATAAAAAAGAAAGAAATCTAAAAGAAACAAGCGACATGAAAAACAAAAGAAACAAAAATGTACAACTATATTATTGAAATGTATACATATAATCCAAAGAAGAATCTGCAATTTTATTGGTCCTCCTCTGGCATTTCGCCTTCAGTTACTTTCCCACCACTATTATGTAGCTTTCCTGTGACTTTTTTATATATACTTTCATGGCAATTGTTGTGATGAACTTTCCTCCATCGTCCATAGGGGAACTAGTTAGGACTTCACAGAGACTCTGAGGTATTATGGTGGCTGTAGTAAGAATGGTAAGAAAGAATATGTTGTTTTGGTGCAAGGAATACTGTGATATGTTTAGGTTCAGTAATTGTGGTTAGCTAATTTTAAGATGAGACAGATTGAAGACCCCGCTTTTGACCCTGTGCCTCATTTTTGTATTTGCAAAGTATCACTTTCCTCTGTGGTAGCTAAATTTTCGGAATTTAAGCGCAGTACTAGATTTGCAACAAGGTCTCATCATTTTACAGTTGAAATGGTTACATGTAACTGCATGTTCTATGCTAACAGTTTCTTCTATCGCACTTCTTACTTGTGGAACTCTCTTCCAGTTTCTTGCTTTCCTGACAATTTTGATCTTTAAGAATTTAAATGCGATGTTAATTGTTATCTATTGTCTTCTTAATTCGTGTTCTTTTAATTGTTCCCTCTTCTAAATAGTGTTTTTCCTTATTTTCTCTAACATTAAGTAACTCCTTACATCTTAGCGACTTTATTGCCTTGCTTGGGGTGAGATTTTTTTTTTTTTTTTTTTGATATGAATGTGTGTCATTTGAAACGGAAAGAGAGAGAGAGAGAGAGACAAAGAAAGACATTCTCAAAAGAAAACAAGGTGTAAAGTTCTGACTGAAAAAAAGGACAACGTCTTCACTCAATGCCAGATGGTAAATAAATAATGTATGGATAAAAGACAATCCTGTATCGTAGTCCACCTGTGAACTTCTCAAAAACTCCAATTCCATCATAAATACTGAAAAATCCACCCTGTGTATAAAAGTGCGACATAACAACAAGAAACAGACAGACAATGAACTGTATTGATCCCGGATTAATATTCGGACCCTTTTAAGTTTATTTGATAGTACTTAGAGAAAGAAGTAAAGATTTGGTTCTAAGAGACATCATTGTCAGTTATAGGTTTATCGGATTTATTTTATTTTTGCTTTTATCTTTTGAAATTTTTCTATCAATTTACAGTTGAGCTGGCTAGATGTAACCGTAAATTCTATGCTAACAGTTTCTTTTCTCGCACTTCTCGCTTGTAGAACGCCCTCCCGGCTCCAAGTTTTCCAGCCAACTTTAATCTGCAAAAATTTAAATGCAATGTCAATCGTTACTTGCTGTCCTCCTTATTAATCTTTTATCTTCCAGCTCATTATTAATGTTTCTGTTCTTAATTAGGACACACCCAGTAACCCCTTGAGGCTTAGTGACTTTTCTGTCGCGCATAGGGTGAAACCTATTAAAAAAATCTAGAGTTGCAAAAGTAAAATGAGTTCTCGTTTCGAAGGCTAAAAACATCAAATAAACCTGTAATTGACAATGGTGTCACTTTTAGAACCAAATAAAAACTTTGTTAGAAACAAAGAAACATGTACTGAACGGTTATGTAATATCAGTCCTCCTAGATGGCAGTGAATGCTGGACAATCTCCTCAAAGATGAAGAAGAGACTTGAAACAACAGAAACAAAGAAAAGACTATTGAACTGTTATATAATATCGGTCCTCATATATGGCAGTGAATGATGGACAGTCTCCTCAAAGATAAAAACTTGAAGCAACAGAAACAAAGAAGACTATTGAATTGTTATATAATATCTGTCTTCCTATATGGCAGTGAATGCTGGACAATCTCCTCACAGATGAAGAAGAGACTTGAAACAACAGAAACAAAGAAAAGACTATTGAACTGTTATATCATATCGGTCCTCATATATGACAGTAAATGTTGGACAATCTCCTCAAAGATGAAGAAGAGACTTGAGACAACAGAAACAAAGAAAAGACTATTGAATTGTTATATATCAGTCCTCCTAGATGGCAGTGAATGCTGGACAATCTCCTCACAGATGAAGAAGAGACTTGAAACAACAGAAATCTGATTTGTTTCTATTCAATTTGGCCAGTGCTGATTCCACTTCAGATTTTAATATTTGCGGTCCTTTGGTATTTCTATGTATTATCAGTTGTTTTCTTTCGTCTTGGAAGATTTCTCGTTCCATCTCTGAAGTATTTTTTCTTTCTCTAATATCAAGGCCCCGTCATTGGATTTTATGCATCCTGCTGACGAATATGTCTTTTGTCCTGTTAGTTATCTTAAGATATATTTTCTGACTTTAAATAACCTACAAAGGGTTGATAAACTGTAAAAAATTCAATCCAATAGTGATTAGCTATACAGGCATGTCTTTTAGATTTATTTACCTTCTCTGGACTATAAATGCATAGAAACTACCATGTCCACAAAGTGAGGGATCAGTTTATATATTGACTGTAATATAGAAGTAACCCCCACTTTATATTCACATTATAATTTGTTTATCAAATTCTGAATCGGTGTGAATCCACCTTTTCTCCCTCAGCTATGGGTTAATTAGTAAGACTTGTATAGCCAAAACCATTATTATCTTTAAAAAATTCTTACAATCTAAAAATATTATCTGGCTTTAAATAACCTGCAAAGGGTTGGTAAGCCGTAAAAAATGAATCAACGTAATAAATCAGAAACTTACGATTTTTGTCTGCAGTTTGGAGATGTGCCATTGCTATTATAATATTTTTTTAGACCAGTTGCCTCGTCTTTGTCGGGATGGAATATTTCATCACCGCCGACAACTCACTACCAGCCTACTCAGCGTGATGACGACTCAACGCGAGGATAACTCAACGCCTGGCGTCGAATTCATAGCTTCAGACCGGTGATGGCTGTGAGAGTGTTCATATCTCTTAGATCGACTTTGAATCGTAGAGATTTTGAAAGTTTGGCTGTTTGTCTTCACGATTTATTAATTACAACAGCCTATTTTGGCTGACTGGTGCTTAATTTTCAAGATTGAATAAATAACCATGCTGAAGCATCAAATAGAACTGCACACAGAGCTGGGGATGGAGCACCCCACCATATGGAAATTCCTTACGGGGCTTCAAAGGTGGGCAAAGAAACAGAGATGCAGTTTTCGAGCAATTAAATGGAGGTTATCCCCCTCCCACTAAATTGAAAAAGTCTATGAAGACAAATGAAAAAATTTTACAGATTATTTCTTTTTCACAGCTAAATATTTGAGGGCAATTGCGTACAATAAATTTTCAATAAATTTTTAAATTAAAAATAAATTTATGTATTAAAAAAATGATCCTTAATAAATTACTTTTATTTGTTTTTAAAAAGTCGACGAAAAAAATTTCATAGTTTGCATGCCGTTGAGTGACTTCGCACTAAGTAAGCTGGTGATGAGTTGTCCTGGAGTTGAGTTCTCACGGAGATAAGTTAGCTGGTGTTGAGTCGGCGACGTTGAGTCGTCCTGCGCCCGTCTCTGTCACAAAATGTTAACCACCATACCCTGTCGCCTGTAAAAGCAGTGGCAACCAACAATTTCACAAATAAATGACGAGTAGTCATCACTTGTAGAGAAAGAAAGAAATAGAACATATTTTAATACAGAGATATTTTCATGTATTTTATAAATAATCAATAACGACCAAGAAAGAGAAAATATACTAGCGTGTATACAATTGAAAACGAAAGGAAACAGAATTAAAACTTGGCTATTGGGAACTGTGTGAACGAGATCTAATCAAAAAGTATCAGGACTGTTGTTATGGTAACGGGGCATGTGAAGCCGCTTGGCTCAGGTTGAACTTGAACTCATGCAGACTAAGTTATAACGTTCTCGCCCACTTCCGTTATTTATAGCAATGCTTGTAAGGAAAGTGTGAAGAATGTGACCGTCTCACCACACTACAGAATCTTCTGTCAATAATCATGACTTATGGGGCATTTTGGGGCCAAGAACAACATTTCCCAGACCCGACAAACACTATGTTCCCCAGATCTCACCACTCACGACTTTCTCCTCTTCAAAAATCAAATCCCACTTGAAAGGGACAAGATTTCAAAACTTCGAGGAAATCCAAGAGAATGCAACGTAGCTGCTCGCTGCCCCCCCCCCCCAAAAAAGACGAGTTCCAGAAATGCTTCCATAAATGGTAACGACACTGGATAAAGTGGGTGGCTTCAGAAAGGGGGGTTGTTACTTCGAAGGAGATTAAATGCCAAATTGACAAGTAATTTTCTTTTTATAGGACCAATCCCGATCAGACCGCGCAGTTGCGCACGCAGAATTCTGTCGTCGATCGCCTCAAGGGAAAAATATTACCCCCAGCGGGGCCAAAGGCTAATGTTGACGCCACTACATCTTGTAGTACAAGAAAGAAAGCGAAAGAGGAAGATTATGTTCCTTCTTTTATAGTCCGTAATTGGTGACGGGTAATCCCCACACATTCAAAGATAATAAACGTAATTTCTAGGACGAGGAGTTACCATTATTTACTCTATTTACATTCATACTATTGTCATCATCTTTTTTGTTGTTATCACAAATTGTCGGCCGTCGTGCCCTCTGGCATGTATCTTTGTTGTTTTTGTCACCTGATCAGCTTCTGTCTAAATTTCTGGGATGAGGAGTTATCATTACTTACACTATGTACATTCGGACTATTGTCCTCATCTTTGTTGTTCTTTATCACAACGTTTCGGCCGTTGTGGTCTCCAGCCTTCATCAGGTCTATATCGATCCGGGTAACTAACAGGAAATTCTGAACTGAACCCTTTATTCAAATCTAAATTGTTCGTCTATTTAAAATACTACATTTATTAAAAAATATATTCAATTTAAATACAGAAGTGGGGGTCACAAAAACTAACCTAACCGGTATAAATTACACGGACGTTACTAATGTGGCGATGCGTTCCGTACGTCCGTCACTGCACAACTATGGTGACATCCTTGGTCTGTTGTATGCGTATATACACCCGGATAGCTATGTCTATTGGTTTGTTTCTTTGGGTGTGACCGAATTAAAGAATAACGACAAATGCTTGTCAAGACACTGACTTGTCAAGACGACTTCTCGTAAAATTTGGCAATGTTTTCCTTCGGCTTCGACGAGGTGAACTGCTATCTTACTAACCTCAGGCCACAGAGAGGACCGTTACATTCACCGACCGTCTAGGCGACAGCTGACTCCTCAACGACTGCCGGTCCTGTACTCACTGACTGCTCCTCTGCTCACTGATTGCTGACTTTCTGTCTCTCTCTGCTTATGTGGATACCGGCTGGGGTCTTATCACCGCTATCCGTCAACTTGTATTCCGGAAAAAAGAGCACCCAAATGTTTGATGGGTGATCAGTTTTTCAAAGGACTCTATTTTTATGATTATCTAAAATCATTAACAAAATGTTATGTTTGTCAATGCAAAGGCGGGCTGGAGACAGGAATCCTGAAAACTCAGGTAATTAAATTGACTTAAAAAATGAACTAGAGACGAGAATCCTAAGAAATTCTGGTAATTAAATTGACTGAAAAGGAAAAAGAATCTATTTATCTCCTAAGGGCATGTGAGAAATCGTATTGTTACACCAATAATTTTTTTAAAAGCTGTACTTTTCAGCTCATGACCATTCCCAGTTATAAGTGACATAGTCTCTCTTAAAAATACTGAAATGACGTCTTTCAGTATTCTTAGTTACATTTTTTTTTTAGTATTTTAATAAATTTGAAATCATTTTCCATAAAATGGAATGGAATAAATAT